ACCGTAATAACAATCACATCTTGGTAGCCACAAGAAAAAATGTGTAGTAGGAACTGTAGTCTTCCTAGCAACACAGTCAAATACCCAAGCCATTAGCTTCTCCTCTCAGTTTTATGAAATGGATGAATTTAGGGTCAAGGAAATAATATATCAAACAGAAGCTTTGAAAATGTGTAGGCATTATTTCCTCTCTGTAAGCATTTAAGTTCCAGTTGGAATTTAAAAACAACGACAACATTGTATTCTACCAACTCAGATCACTAATCTTACTTTAGAGAAAGCTCCTATCTGTCCCTGTCCTCCCCACTGCTGTGATCTGACTGTTTCTGTCTCCCTCAAATTCGTATTTTGAACCTCTGAGTCCAACATGATGGTATTCAGAGGAGAGGCTTTGGGGAGGACAAAAGGGTGGAGCCCTGGTGAATGAGGTTTAGGGCTTCAGAATGCTGCCACACCTGCTTCTAGTGTGGGAGGTTAGTGAGAAGGTGCCCTCAGTAAACCAGGAAGCAGGACTCCTCCAGACACCAAGTTGGCCAATTCCTTGATTTTAGACTTCCAGCTCCCAAAACTGAAAAAATGCATTTCTGTTGTTTACAAGCAACCTGGTCTACGGTATTTTCTTATCACAGCCAAAATGGACTAACATACATGTAACAATGTAAATAGGAAAACAAAAAAAAATTGGGCCAGGGATTTAGCTTAGTGGTTCGGTGGCCTGACTTGCAAGCGCAAGGACCCCAGTTCAATCCCCAGTACAAAAAAAAAAAAAAATGTAAATAGGTTGTCTTTAATCTCTTATAGCCAGTGAGTTTCATAAAATGTGTTCCCTTAGTGTATAGTTAAAAAACATTTCCAACTCCCATCTCACATTTCTCCTTAAAGAAAGCATTCTCAAGTAGTCACTGCTTTGGTTAAAAAACTGATTATAGGCTTGGTGGTACGTGTCTGTAGTCTCAACACTCTGGGAGGTGGAGGAGGAGGACTGCAAGTTTCGGGCCAGCCTGAGCAATTTAATGACTTGACACCACCCTGTCTCAAAAAAGATGAGGATATGGCTCAGAGAAAAGGCCCCGGGTTCAATCCTAAGTATTTTTTTAAGTGTTTACGTTGAACTATTAGGAGATCACAATTGTTATCTATGTGTACCTGAGTTTAACTGGTGCTGTCTTTTTGGTTCACTCCAATTCCCCTACTTGTGAGCTTTGAGTTGTGCCTCTGCTCAGTCCTGAGTGGGAAGTATATGACTGTCCACCCACGTAGGGTGCTCAGTAAACCAATTTACAGCAAGTCCCTCACTTACGAACATTCGAGTTGCAAACTTTCACAAACTGGAACTGAGCTCCCATTACGAACATTCATAGATGTGAACAAATCGAGGAAGTAGCTCACATGTCTACCAGACATTGTCCCATCCATGCTGCTGTGTGCTTACCGTACAGTGCGATAGTGTATAAGCCCGGGATATCTGGACACAAGAGCAAAAGCAGTGGCGATATGGAGGGGACTGCTAGGAAGTGCAAGGCAATAAACACTGAATATTTGTGTCAGAGGACTCACTTTGTCGGACTTATGAATGAATCCGACTCACGAACATTCTCCTGACATGGAACTCGTTAGTAAGTCAGAGACTTAGTGTACATCAGATGCTGTGGGATTCTTCAGTTGCTCTTTTACTCTTCAAGGGAAAAAGGGGCTCAGAGCCCACCACAGTGCAATCCCTGTGCCTTAGTTCGAACTCCTCTCCTCCCAGAGATGCCTTGGGAAGGACTGGGGAGACAGCAGGGAACGCTTCTGGCATTGTCTCTTCTGGCCACTAGATGATGACCAGTTCATTAGCCAGTTCAGGATTCATTTCATCATCCTGAAGGTGAAATTTTCCACCAGATTTACAGTACTGATCCTTCCACATGTAAAATTCAGTGACAAAACATTGAACTCAAAAGAAAAAAATAATGCAGGTTATTTTATAATTAAAGCAAATTAGAAATCTGTGTGGTACAGCCCCACTCTAAAGCCTGAACCTCCCTGGAGAGTCACTGGCCCAAGTCCACATTGAAAAGCTAGAATCTGATGTGCATGGCCAATGGCAGCAGCAAAAACTCTCCTGCTCAAGAGTCAATGTGTGCAAGTATCCTCCTCCCACTGTTTCTTTCATCCAGGCCCCAGCCCATTGGATGGTGTCAGGATGGTGTTTCCACATTCAGGGCAGGTCTTCTCCTTCACCATTTAGTAGTACATGGACCCACACGCCACTCGTCTCTATCAGCACTCCCATAAACGACCACAAGTGTGCCCTGCCAATTTTCTAGACCTCTCTTGAACCAGACAAGTTGATTAACCATACACTTAAGGGGGAGCACAACTGACATTTTAGCACAAGTTTTGGAGTTAGGGATTGGGCAAACTTTCTGCATTGGTTTGCTTGTTTTTTGCATGAGTCTATCATCCTGTACATGTGTGCCACATATAACAAGGGGAAAAGAAGTTTAAAAAAAAATATTACTACCCTTGCAAAAGTACCGTGGCAACACTTCCTAGGGAGATAGACGGAGAGAGATGCAGGAATGGCATTTCATATTAAATGACACCCTGTTCTTAAAGGGAAAAAATTAATTGTATTGAGTGATGGAATTACTTTAACATTTCCCCTTGGGCTTTATACCCTAGTAAGAAAAGAACTGCTGTTTTTAACTATGCTCCTAAAATAAGCTTTTGAAGGAAACTTCTTCAGTACTAGAAAAAAGAGAGGAAGAGCTTGCCCTTGTAAGGTACTAATAACCTCTTTTGGAAAGTAATTTCCTGTACTGGAGAAGTAATTCTCTCCTTGTCTGTGTGACGGTTTAACAAGAATATAGTAGATTTATCTAACAACTTGAACAAGTTATAGCAACAGGAGTGAGTGATGGCAATTTAGGTACATTTGAGAAGATGTGAACACACCACAGAATTCTGAGGTACCTTTCTTTTGCCTTTCCATGTTCTTGAAGTTCTTAACAGCATCATTGAGTTCTGTCCAGCTGAGGACCTGCCAAAGTGAGGACTTTTGAGGATCTCTTTATTGAACTGCAGTCTTTGACTTGTTAATTACAAACTGCTTTACTTGGGTTGAAAAAAATATGGAAACTAGTGGACTGAATGCTGAAGGAAGAGAAATGACCAGCTCCACGCCACAGAAGGTAGAAGGAGCGAGTGTAGATGTTAACATAAATTAAATGGTGGGTTTCACAGAAATAGAATCATAAAATCAATCACTAATCAAAATATCTTGCCCTACAATGTTTTAATAACCTTCATGTTTTTATGATCTAAAACTGTTGCCTGGCGTTAAAAAGAAAATTAGAACAAACCTAGTTTTACAAATCTTAATTGGCTTTATTTGTGATTCCAGATTCAGGCAGCAGTCTGCATTCATAATGATTCATAATGCTGCACCTCACAAGCAGGTTATATTTATAGCAAGAGACAAAGAAATTACATACAGAAAACAGAAATGGAAACAGCCCTTTTGGTTACAACTTGGGTCTTATTTGAACATACAGTTGGTCAGCAGTGATTGGCTGAGACATCTACCTGCTAAAATAGTAGCTACAGTCTGTTTACTCTTCAAATTACAGGGCACTTATGTGGAGAAGCTTTTAAGCCAATCTTAAAAGATATGTGGAGGTAGCTTTAGGCAGGTCCTAACTCTGAGTTGGTGGAGGTTGGCATCATTTTTTCACACATATGTGAGAATAAGTTTGTTTGTTTTTTTCTCACTGAGCTTATTGGTACATTTTAGGTATATAGTACAGTTACATTCATTATTGGGATCTTGTACCTTTACATGAGAGGTCTTGGTTCTCATTTTTTCCCCCTATCCCTGCCCTCCCATCACCCCCTCCTCCCTTCCCTATTTACAAATACTTTATTTCCATGATAATTGACAATGTGAAATAAGAAGAAAAGGGCTAAAGGTGTAGGGGAAGTGGGAAGGGTAGGGGAAAGGTAATAAGGGAAAAGAAAAAAAAACATGAGAAAATGAAAAAATGAGAATAAGTTTTTGAAGCCCTTCCCCTGTGCAGTTTTCTTGACTTAGCATTTTTTTCTATACTGAATCATGCATTCCTAAAACCTGCATTGATGAAAACACTTTACCCTTTCATGCTTTGTTTTACCCAAGAATGATGATTTGCAAGGCAATCCAGTTCATTTTCAGAAATGTTAATTATTTTCATATTTTGCAATAAAATCTTTTTTGCTGTACTTATCAGTTCTGGACTCCACCTCCCAGCCACTTACAATAATATATCTGACCCCTGATTCTTACAGACATCAGCTAGTGTGTTCCTGCCTGTCTTCACACCCATATACTTAATTATTTCATGCTCATCTCATCTAACATAGAAATGATTGAAATAATCGACATTTCAAGAATCCTGGCTTACCTGTACAACTTTTTCCTACTGTAGGAAAGCCGTTTTATTCTGGTACCAGTTCATTTCAGTTAACTGCTCTAGATGTTAGCCCTGCATTCTTGCCCACTTTCGTCCCACCCCATGATCACCCATGTCTGAATGATAGTGAAGAAGCGTGTTGGTCAGCTGGCAGGAGACTTTCCAAGAGATGTGCTGGTACCATCTGCTTGCTCCTTGGCTCTACCAGTCGTAAGTGCTGGCTGGAGCTAAAGCAGTATCATAAATAAGAAATGAAGGAAATATTTTTGTTTGAGTGAATTATAAACACTAGGGCACTTACTGTGTTTTGATGTTAATTTTAAAGTGCATCAAATGACATTTCTGAATTCTTTGAAGGTTTAATTAATATTTACTCCATTGATTGATATATTTGTAAGGAACTCTGTTGAAAGGCAAAACTAAATCTGAGAAAAACTGAAATAAGTAATCTAGATGAGAGGAAACATTTCATTATTTTATTAAGCGAACAAACAGAAAGCTGAAAGTCATTATAAGATGCTTTGCCAGGCATATTTTCAATCCACTGAAACCAGACCTTCCTTCTAGTCTTTAGAACGAAATTGGAAGTTAATCCGTGATGAAGGCCTTGCAGTGATGGACAAAGCCAATGGTCTTTTCCTGCCTGAAGATGAAAACCTGAGGGAGAAGGGTGACTGGAGCCAGTTTACACTGTGGCAACAAGGTGAGCTCCTGACTTCCAGATTGTTCTCTGCAGCCAGAGTCCTGAGGACAAGTGACAAGAGTCTTCTGTGATAGTTCCAGGGCTGGGATTCCTGGACTTAAAGGAGTCTACCCAGAAAACCTAGATTTCTTGAATGCATTCTTTCTTTTTTTTGCATTCATTATTTTAGAAAAAAATGCATTTGAGCAATTTGTGTGCATATGTGTAGGTGTATGTATCATACATGTATATTTGCATAGATGTATATAAGTATTATTTTTATTTTTCCTGATCTTTCTGAACATTGAATATGTTGCCGACAATGACCCTACTGTGTAGGTTTAACTGAAAAGTCCACTGGGCGTGTATCAGCGGCGTAGTAAGAGCATCCCTGAGCCTCATTTGCATCTATAAAATATAGTTGACGCTGCAAGGCAAAATGATATTGCCATGAATGAGAGATGTTAGAAATGCTTAACAAACTAGAATGGCAAGACAGTCACTACTGAGCATGGTAAAGATAAGTGGTTCATGTCCAGCTTTACCTTTTTTGAGCCTAACCCCTACCCCTGCACTAGATGGAGCTCCAGTAGATGTGTTACAGAGTTAATGTATGTATTTTTTAAAAGGAAGCATTTAACTTTAAAACTCTCTCTAGTTCTTTTTATTAACAGTAGCTCTGCTAGTAAGTGCATTTTGATGAACAGACAACATGTGCCACACATATTTAGCTACGCACACAAAAAAAAGTCAGAGTGTGATGAGCAATCAGATTACATAATAGACAAGTAAGAACAGTAGTTTGTTTCAGGTATGCTTTTGGAATGCTGTGGTGGAATAAGGAAATGAATTACTTCAGTAATATTTTCAAGGATGTATCCATCAGGAAAGAGATCACATGGTTTCAAGTGACTGTCAATTTTTTTTTCCAACAAGAGTTCTTTGTAAGAGAGCTGTACCTCCCTTAAATGTGCTAAATGCACATTTCCATGTGGTATATCACAAAGATGACTTCGTTCTTTGGTCATTTGTTGCTTCAATTCATTAATATCCTTTAGGATTTATAGACACTGCATGGTTTCCTAGGGTAGGGCTGCTGAATAGCATGCATACTAGCAGTAACTGTAGTCTCTACTCCAGCAACTCTAGTCTCCACTGAACATAGGTGCTTGGATATAGTTTAAATATTCAAAGATTTATAGAGATAATAATATTAAGCAGAAAGAAAATAAAAAATAGACACTATAATTTGGTTTGGTGGCAACATTTAACTTTTAAATTTTCACTTGTTTGATTATGCCTGGCTTTGTATGAATTATTTATTTTTTAACATTTTTTTAATTTTCTATAACGAAGTTCTATTTTTTTCTCTCATTGAGTTTATTGGTACATTTTAGGTATACAGTACAGTTACATTCATCATTGGGATCTTGTACCTTTACATGACAGGTCTTGGTTCTCATTGTTTCCCCTTGTCCCTGCCCTACCTTCATTTTTGATTTTAAAAAGTCATAAAATTACTTCTCACTTATGTTCTTTGGGTTATATTTTCTAATTTTTGCTTTATATTTTTTCTTCCTTTTATATTTTGTGTTAGATATTTTTAGTTCTTTAAAACATTTTGTTTGGGACTCCTTTGTACCTTTATTTTTATCATTTCTTCTCTGTTAATAAAAGCAACCAAGGCTATAGTGTGCTTCTAGATATAGCTTGGATGCATTCCATGTCATAATGTGTGGTATTTTTACTGATACACTGCCAAAAATAGACTGCATTTCTGTCCTGATTTCTATTTTAACACAATATAATTTAGAGTTTGGGGTATGTGTGTGTGTGTGTGTTGAACATTTTTTCAATCCATTGCAGCTGCTTCATCTTTTAAAAATTAACTTCTAGGGCCAGGCATTTAGCTCAGTGGTTCCGATACCAGCCTCAAAAACACAAGGTTCCAAGTTCGATCCCTGGTACAAAAAACAAACAAACCAAATAAAAAACTTCTAGCTGAGTTTGGTGGTATAGCCCTGTAATACCAGCACTCTAGGAGACTGAGGCAGGAAGACCACAAGTCTAAGCCTAACCTGGGCAATTTAGCAACTTGGAAAGATCCTGTGTAAAAAACAAAATCAATGTTCTGGGGATATAGCTCTGTCCAAATGCCTTGGGTTCAGTCTCCGTACCAAAATAATAATAACAATAAACTTCTAATTTTTATGTTTATTATTGCTATTAAAGACTATAATTTACATAGTTTCCCTTTAAGAAGTCATTAATCTTGTTTGTGGTCTTCTGTTTGTAGATTCCAGGCTTCTAGAAGGAATTCAGTAACTATTTTCTGGAAACAAATCAATAGTGTAAAAAATGATTTCTCCCATATTTTATCAGAATGTGTTGTTTTTAAAAATGCGTTCGCAGGGCACAGTAAATATATTCCCATTTTGGTCCTTTTTACTTCCCCTTCCCTCCTCTCCCATCTCGCTCTGTTCCCAGATCCCTTTCACATCCATTCAGAGAACCAGCTCTTTGACTCATTGATCTTTTTATTATTTTTTTAATTTAAATTCCCTTAATTTCCACTCTGATCTTCATAATTTTTCTATTAGTTTTAGATTTGGATTTTTCTTATTTCTCTGGCACCTTGAAATGCATCATTAGGTTATTTATTTCAGATCAGTAACATATCTTGCATAGAAACTGGATGGAGTCTTTAAGACAGATGTCATCTCAGGTGCTGTGGATCAGAAACAGACAAGAGGGAATCCTGCAATGGAAGGATTTTGAGGAGATGTGGGGGCAGGGAGATGGTAGGGCAGTTTGCTTAGCCACATTGAGGTATCCAAAGAGGCCACTGAGTTTCTGGCTTAGAGAAGACTTAAAGGTTGTCTGGCCCAGTTATAAAAGCATCCTTGTAGGTACTTAAAGTAATAAAATTGTGGCTGGAAGTTTTATTTGTATTTAAATGGAAAGTGAAATCATGGTAGGTTTACCCTATGGTCTGAATTGTGCCTCTGTAAAGTTCATATGTTGAGGCCCTAACTCCCAGCAGGACCGTGTTCTGAGATAGGGTCTTTTTTTTTTTTTTCAGCTTTAATTGAGTTTATTGTTACATTTTAGAGATACAGTACAGTTACATTCATTGTTAGGATCTTGTACCTCTACATGACAAGTCTTGATTCTCATTTTTTTCCCCTTACCCCTGCCCTCTCTTCACCCCCCCCTCCCCTCCCCATCTACAAACACTTTATTTTCATCTTTTCATTTTATCACATTTTTTTCTTTTCCCTTATTACCCTTCCCCTACCCATCCCACCTTCCTTACACCTTTAGCTCCTTTCTTCCCATTTCTAAATGTCAGTAATCTTATTAGGATCTTATGTATTATTGCAAATTATTCACACCAGGGAAACTATTTGGTATTTACACATGTGTGACTTATTTATTTCACTTAGGAGTATATCTTCAATATGTATCCATTTTCCTATGAATGAATATATTTTCTCATTCTTTATGGCTGAGTAATATTCCATTTTAAAGAAAAACCACATCTTCTTTATCCAGTTTCCAAATGGAAAATGGGCTGTTTCCAAGATTTAGCTATTACAAACTGTGCCGCTGTAAACGTGTGTGCATACTTCTCTGTGATATGATTCTTTTAGTTCTTTTGGAAAGATACCCAGCAGAGGGATGGCTGGGACAAATGGAACCTCCAGTCCAAGCTCTTTGAGGTATCTCCATATTGATTTCCATAGTGGTTGCA